GAGCACAATGAACAGTATTCCACATGCAATCTGCACAGCAGGCCATACATGGACTATGTGTAATATAAACGTCGGATATAAATGGTGCCGAGGGGATCATGCAAGTAAAGGGAAGTGTTGCTCCTCCAAACATACAATGAGATAAGACAGGCTCCTCTGAGCAGCAGGATCATGCTGTGCCACGTACCCAGGGTCTGGGCTCCAGGACCACCCTCATCATTAGCTCATTGAGATGCAGACTTTGGCCCCCTCCTTTCTGGTGTCTACTCCTCCCAGCACGGAATGGACAAATGGATATCTGTTACATATCTGATATGGATAACATCAGTCCCAAACAAAGAGACTGAGAAGCCTTGGAAGGAAACAGCCTAGGGAGAAAAAGTCCAGCAAATTGCTCTCTGGCTCAGGACATATTCTCAGAAATGATGCTAATCTCCCAGCCTATAGCGTGGTTTACAGAGTGATTTTCTGTCCACTGTCTCATTTGCTTGTCACTACAGTATTAGGAAGTAGCTATCATGACTCCCATTTTGCAGGCGAGGGATGAGGGATCATGGCAGTTAAATGAACTCTCATGAGTAATCTGAGGAGCAGAGAGGGAAACCAACCCCGGGAGTCCCCCACCGAACCTTTGCCACCATGAGCCCAAGAGGTGAGGAAGGTGACTGCCCCACAGTGGAATGAGACTGGAACAACATAGCACACTTACTGTCAAGGCTCGGGTAAATCAGATTAGCCCTCTGAATGAAAGGTTGCAAACTGCAACCAACAGGCCAAATCCAGAATTGGATTTCTTTGGCTCTCAAATGCTTTAAAATTTTCTAATGCTCTAAAATTTTCTATAATTTTCACTTATAAAATCAGGCAGTACTGGGTGTGACAACACTTGCTGGAGCTGAGCAGTGGCCACCTCTGTGCTCTTCAGTTGCCTCCAGTCCCCACCGCTCCCTATTGCCTTCCACCTGGCCCCACTCTGTTCCTCTCCATTACCTGCCCGGCCTCAGACGACTTTGAGTTTGTTCTCTTCGGCTTAGATGGCTGGTCTGATACATCTTGCCCCTCTCTGCCCCCACCAAGATTTCCTCTGAGGTCCTCTTTCCCAATTCTGACACTCTGAGTCTAGTTGGAAAAAGGCAGAAGTAAAGTTTGTCATTCACTCAATTCTCTCTGTCAGCCAGATGAGGCGGCCATCAGTCTGCATCTGGGGCAAGGTGCCAGAGAGTGACTGAAGGAGTTAGTGGAGATAACAACCTCTCTGCAGATCGCTTGGCCACTGGAACACAGAGAGTTTCACCTGATCTGGTCTATTTTAAACTCACGGCAGCTGTACTCAGTGCAAGGATGCGTCCCTGAAGACTCACATAAATCCGAGCTTGCATAATTCATGACCAACCCTGACCAAAGATGATGGACATTTTTTTGACAGTTAAAGTGGCCCAGCTATGTGGCAATAGCTTAGAGAGAGTTTACAACTTATACGGCCCACCATAATGCTATTTTTTATCAGTCTGAGGATAAAATGGCCACAAATCTGAGTTTGAAACTCAGAAACATTTTCTGGCTGTGAGGTGCTGAGCAAATTCTACAAGCCCTCTGACCCTGGTTTCTTCCTCTGACCCACCTCACTTCTGTAATGAACTTGGTAGGGGCTGGCACATTGGACGTACTCACAATGGTAGTTCTCTGCCACTGCCCATGGACTGGGTGAGGATCCAATCCTGATTCTCTCCAAGTGGTACAAGGTCCTTGAGTAGTCATGAATGTACACTTTACTGGGGTCATGACAGAAGACGATGGAGGCTCTCTGAATCTCAGGACTCAACAGACCCTTTGGTGCCGCCCTGTCAAGCTTGCCTCTGAGTGAAGAGCTGTATCTACTGTGTGCCCAATGACCCAAAAGAAGATTACAAAATCTCCAAGGTCTCATCTTAGATCACAGCCCTGGGAGTTAAGAAAAGCCTATTGTTGGAGACTATGAAACGGGGAGCCCAGAGGGACTGTATACCTTTTAGGATAGGACACGGGAAGGCAGAAACAGAGAGGTGATATCCTATTGACCCTCATGTCATCCTAGGTGCTCAGAACAGCCCTATTGTCCTGGATTCTCCAAGCCCCTTTACACCTCTGCTTCTTCATCTGAAAAGTAGGAACAATAACGTCCAAATCACTGGATAATTCTGAGGGTGATCAAATGAGTTCACATGTTCAATAATTCTTTGTGAACTCAAAAGAAACACAGACATGAGGTGTTAACTATTGTAATTATTACTCACCTGCTCCTTAACCAGGACCCCCTCAGTGGTCCCAGCCATTTCACAGTTTGGGCAGCTCCAGGCACAGCATAGGCCCTCAATAAACACTTACTGGTCGTCATAATGATTGATTCCAGGATTACTCTTGGTCAAATTCTTTACCTGCCATTTACATACTCATGGCCCAAACAGTAGGACATTTATGGCCACAGGCACTGAGAGGGTTCACACCATCCCACGAGGCCAGGGGAGGGAGGCTGACCTGGATCTCACTCAGAGTGGAAGAACTCAGGGGTGTCCCGGGAAGGAGTTAGACATTTATGGCCACAGGCACTGAGAGGGTTCACACCATCCCACGAGGCCAGGGGGGGGGAGGCTGACCTGGATCTCACTCAGAGTGGAAGAACTCAGGGGTGTCCCGGGAAGGAGTTAGACATGTCATGACCTGTTAGTGACCCATGGGTCCACCCACCTCATCTCTTAGGATCTGAATCATTATGGTTTTTATGGTACCTGCTATTTAATTTCTCTTCCATCTCTGGTAAATCATAGATTGGAAGGTGATAATGGAGGCTGGGACTACAAAATCAGGGAAGAGTAAGAATAGAGGGCCCGTCGGGGGTAACAAAGGGCATGAGAAGGAGCAAACGGGTGAGGATAAAAATAAACATTTTGAATGTTGGTAATGCAGGCCCCCTGGCAGGAGCCCTGGTCCCTCAGCTCCACTGTAGCCCGGGAAGGTGCAGATGGCAAGACAAGCAGATGGGCAGGTTCGGGAATAGCAGGGTAAGAGAAGGGAGGGGCAGAAATAAAAGCAAACCGATATAAGTGGCAGGTTTGTTCGCACATGCTTAGAGAGAGAAAAGACAGCCAAGCCCAGTGTAACATGACAGCCTGGCAGGATTGTTATTCCCAGAAGCTGGGGCACTGAAATATTTCATCCAGTTTTCTGCCTTAAACTCTCCAAGGGAAATACTGCTAACAAAGCCTGCACATGTTATGTGTTCAACGTAATGCAGAGACTACCATTCCCTTTGCTTTGGGTAAGACAGGCTGTCACGACCTTTGCCTCCATGGCACCGGGACTGTGATCACCAGCTGGAGGCTTCTACACTTCCACTCTTATTTTGTCACTATACATGTATGCATGTAAACACGTGACTATACACATACATACAAACATGCCACATGAACACACACGTGCACACACACACACACGCACAGCAACAACGCAGCCATCTGGACAGGCATGCTGTCCTACAACACCTTTTTTTCTTCTCTGTTCTGACAGTTAAGAATCATCTGCCATCAAAGATGCCTGGTATTAAAAGAGGCAGAAGTCTGAGGATGGGGAAGTAGGTGAGCAGTAGAAAAGGACAGAGTAGGGGAGAGGAGGTCAGGACAAGGGAGAAACACAGGGGGAGAGAGAGCAAAGAGAGACGCTTGGCTCCTGCTCCCCCACTAATAAGCTGTCCTTTTAGAATTTGTTGATTGAGAAAAATCTATAATTCCAAATAAGATCACGGTCCACTGCCTATGACTCTCATTGCCTGTAGATGTGATGCTCCCTTCCCCTCTGCAGCCGTGCACAGTCACCCCAGGGGAGAGATTGCTCATTTTTCTGTAACACCCGTGGTATTTACTGCACGTGTACAGCATGCAGTGCTTAGAATATACCACCCTGAAGCTTTATACTTTGTGTCTATGTACTGTAAATCCTTCGTTAATGAGTTCTACGGGAGGGACAATAGGATCCAAGTGTCACTGTATCCCTCAGAGTGTCTAATCCACAGCTTGGCACACAGTAGATGCTAAATAATTGTCTCTTAATAATGAATGAGTAAATAAGGGAGTGAATGAGTGCATAAATGGACTGGATAAATGGATATAAAAAGAAATGAATTGTCGCAAGAGGTGTGAAAAGTAATAAAGAGAAAAGCTCAGAAGAGAAAGAGATACCGAAATAAAGAGAAGAGAAGGAAATGTGTTCTGAGCTGTGCACGCCACAGGGATGTACTGGCTATCAGGAGTTTTTTATTGCCACCTCTCTGAGGTCTCACCAATGGTGTAGCATTCATCTAAGCAAGCTGTAAAGGAGAATGCACTCTTCGGTTACATGGGTTTAATTGAAAAGTAATCTATGAGGGCAATATTGACTTTACCATATGATTTCTGGAAAGTTTCTTTCATTGGGTTTTTCATTAAAGCGTCATTGGTATTCCTGTCCCCAAGGTTCTTTAGTGACTCCACCCACCCACCTATCCATCTGTCTGTCCATCCATTTACCTACCGATCTGTCCTTCCACTCACCCACATGCCTGTCTATCTCTTCACCTATCTTTCCAACAGCATTTGTTGAACTCTAGCTGGATGTAGACCACTGAGTCCTACTCTGGCTTGGACATCTGTCCATCCACTCACCCACATGCCTGTCTATCTCTTCACCTATCCTTCCAACAGCATTTGTTGAACTCTAGCTGGATGTAGACCACTGAGTCCTACTCTGGCTTGGATAGACATCTTTGCTTTTGTGCTGGGCACAAGAAAATCCCCCAGATTCTGACTCATTCTCACAGGTGAAACACTACACTCACCTTCTCCATGACCACAATGTCCATCATGTTCACTCCTGGGAGGAGGCCTGAGGGCAGACAGGCAGCATAAGTGGAGCCTCAGCTGTGTCTCTCCTTAGGGACAGACAAAAAGCCAGCCACACAGACAAAGGATCACAGAAGCCTCCAGACTTACCAGCTTGGTTTGTGGTGATATTGACAGAGACATGCTGTGGGGGGAAGGGACTCTTGTTGGAGACTCCATTGATGGCTTGGATGTCAAAGGTGTAGGGGGTGTGGGCCCACAGACTGCTGATGGAGACACGGCACTCGGTTAGTCCCAGCTGCCTGGGCACAAACTCCACATTGTCATCACAGCGGGAGCAGCTCCGACGGTCTGCCCGGCACTTTTTGCAGATGATGTTGTACGTCACATCATCCCGCCCACCTGTCTCCCTCGGTGGGTGCCACTCCAGAATAATAGAAGTCTCGTTGACAATGGAGATGACGTTGCGGGGACCTGATGGGACACCTGCATGGAGACAAAGAAGGGCCCGGTGAAGCCAGGCAGAAGCTTCCGTGTCCAGCATCTCTCTGGACTGCCTCTGGGGTGTTCCCACCCTTATCACATGCATTCACCCCAAATCTCCACTCTCCAATCCATTCTGGAAAAAAACAGCAGATGGGGCTTTCCTTCTTTCCATCATGTGTGCCAAGGGAGAAAGGTTCAAGGACCTGACTTCAAGTCTTTTTGTTCTCAAGACAAAGCCACTTCCTCCAGCCAGGTTTAGGGTTAATAAAATTCATGCATATTAGACACTTACTGGATTCCTTGTCTTTTCTTAATTGGCATATAACTCAAGGGTAGAGAGATACGAGTGGCCCCTCCCAAAGTCCCAACAGATCCTGAAATTCTGTGCAAAACCTCCCATAATTCAGGATCTATGTGGTTTGTACACGGTGGCAGGCTGCTGGAGCACCTGGATGGATGAATATCCCCATTGTGACAGCTTTGGTGCATGAAGACAAGGAGCAAAGTTGGAGGAGAGGTTGATGCTGCCTTGATTTTTGACCCCATGACATAAGAAAAACATAGGAGTATGTTCCAGACACTCCACTACCTGCTCTAAATGCATTACCTCATTTAACCCCACCAAGAACCCTACTGGGAAGATATAGTAGTTATCTCAGTTTTATAAAAATGGAAACTAAAGAAGGCTTAGAGAGGAGACTGACTATAGGTCACGTCTATAAGAACTGAAGCCAGTATAGAAACCTATACCTGCTTGATTCCAAAGCTCATATTCTTGCCTATAGACCTGCCCTGAAAAGACTACGAACCAGCTAGGCTCGCTGGAACCCAAGGACGGCAGCCTCTTCCCTCCGGACAGCTCTGTTTATCACTGCTGTTCAGAATCTGGCAAAGGTTAAAATGCCCCACTGCAAGAGTGGAAAGCCTGGTCCTTTGTAGGACAGTAAAATGTTGCTGAATTAACGGCCACAGTAGTGGGCATTTTGAGATAAGTTGGAGAATCTCTTGCCCAAGAACAGAACAGATCATAGCCTCAGGTTGCCAAGCCTGCACCTCACATATCCTCAATGTCTAACTGACGGAAATGGGTCCTGCCCAGGAGCCCCTCGCCTTCCGAGCAGCAGGTCTGCTGCAGCTGCTGCTCCGGGTAGTAATGCATTCAGAATTCACGCACGTGATCGTCGCCAGCTGAAGGAAGACATGTGTAAAGTGGTTCATGCTGGAGACAGGAATCAAATGCCAACACACAGAATGAGAGAATAACAACAAGGTCGGGGGGCACCAGGGAAGGACTCTGTGTTGAATCAGTCAATGGCAAGCAGTGAGAGCAGAAAGCAAATATTAAATCGGATTCTATTAAAACATGAAAGAAAATCAGTACTGCACTGTATAAAGCCCATTAGGCCTGCGCTAAAGCACAGCGTTCATCCACGCTTGTGACAAGGCAGAATTCATGAAGCATTTTTACTGAAGTCTTGCAAACAGCGTTCAAGAATTCCCCACCCATCTGCCCAGGGTAAGCATCCATCTCTCTTCAGATCGGCACACGGCTAGTACTGGGAGGGCGGTCGGTGCTGTCCCAGGTGGGCTGACAGTAGGCGGGCGGCCTTGCCCTACACTGCATAGTTCATTGACATGCATATTGGTCAGTGCTTGTCCTGGACATGTCTGTTTACTTCAGACTGATGAGACTCAGGCCACAAGCTCCCAGTGGTCAGAGAGCCGAGCCTCACCCGCAGGCTGCGGGTGCTCCTGCTCACAGTAAGCACATTCACTGCGTGCTTGCTTTCTGCTAGGCACGTCGGGTCAGTATTCTTAAAACATCACCTTATTGCTTCGAGCCTCACCCGCAGGCTGCGGGTGCTCCTGCTCACAGTAAGCACATTCATTGCGTGCTTGCTTTCTGCTAGGCACGTCGGGTCAGTATTCTTAAAACATCACCTTATTGCTTCCTTGGGACATCCTGAGGCTATCACTCAGAAAGCAGCGTCAGTGGGGGGTCAGAGGCAGGTACCCCATGGCTGGAGGTGTCATGTGTGCACTCCTCTCCCAGATGCCCTGCTGCAGGCCGATGGAGGGGCCTCAGAGAGGCCATGGCAAGGACCCACTGCTTGTGACCCTGAGTGGAAGAAGCTTTGGTGCAATGAAGGTGGCAAATGAAGAGTTGGTTTGGAGGTGCTGCCCTGTCCCTGGTCTGGTGGCATTCATAGCAGCTGGGGAGACCCATCCTGGTTGATGCTGCTCCATGTCTGTTCATTTGCTCCCAGCTGCCCAGGAAAAAAAGCAGTGGGTTTCCAGGAAGATTTTTTCCATGTTTATTTCATATGAAGAAACAGCCTTCATATGAAGCAACCACTGCCCCTTCTCATTCACATGTGCTCTTCAGAGTACACGTATCTGTGGGGCACGAATGGGGGCTCATGGAGATTATGGTTAGTGAGTCAAGTATGAAACCTTTTCTTCCAAGGAGTGGGAACAGACATTCAGAGCTTTTCCCTAGACAGCGGAGTACTAGGAGAGCCCAGTGCCCTGCTGTGTACCCTCCCCCCACCTCCTCCCCTCCTCTGACCTCCGCATGGCAGGGTGTCTTGTTGATCCCATGGAGTAAGCACCAGTGTGTACTTATGGAAGTGACTAGAGTCTGGGCCAGAAATAATGACTGGGACCCCATTTACTACTCATTCATTCACTCCATTAACAAATACTCCCTGCACCATTCTAGGCACTCCGAGGTCAGAAAAAAGCAAGATGGGCAAGCTTCTGCTTTCATGAAGCTCACATTCTGGTGAGATAGAATGAACGAGATAGAAGGAAACACAGAAATAAATGAGATGATGTCAGATAAGAATAAGCACCATGAAACAAAACAGCCCTGGAACTGTGATGGCCTCCTAACAACACTGAGCTCTGTCCCTTACGCCCATGAGGCCTGCTCCAGGCCTGGCAAGCCAACGCCTTGCATCTGGATAGTTCAAAGGATGATATGGCCCCAGGCAACTGTGCTCCAGCATCCTGATGACATCGCACAAGTAGGCTGCTCGGCCTACCTCGTGCTTGAATAAAGAGCCTGACCAGAGCAGGTTCAGCTTCTGCATAAATCTCTCTAGAGGAAGGTGCTAGGACCACTCTCCCACCCAGCCAGGCATTGCCTCCTGGGCTTGGGGCCCTATTCTTGCCCTATTCTTGGAGTATGCATCCAGAATCTGGGCCCCCAGCAGCATCCCCAGAAAGGAGGGCAGCTGAGACAACCAAACAAAAACATTACAAGGGGGAGCAGAGAGGAAGGCTGAAGGGAAGAAGGATATCTGCCATGTCCATCAGCAAAGGCCCTCAGTAAGAGCAGTGGCAGGACTCAGCTCTGTGGTCTCCGTGTCTGACTGGGCTCTCTGCTCTTGCGTCTGCTTCCTCGTTTTTCTTAATTACATACAGACAGGCTCTTTGAAGCCTCTCTGATCTGTTGCCACGGTTACTACTGACGAACACATTCCCTTAAAAGGGCTAGGGAAATTCAGTCCTTTTAAAGGACGGGAAAAGTGTTGAGCTCTTATTTTCTGTTTGGGTGGGGAGGCGGTGTGGTGGGTCCTGAGTTATGGGGATGGGTCTCCAGTGTCTTCTAACATGTGCTTCAGAAGATGGCTCAGCCTGCATGGAGCATGGTTGTCATCAGGATCTCAAAGAGTTAAACAGCGGGTGGGGAGGCGGTGTGGTGGGTCCTGAGTTATGGGGATGGGTCTCCAGTGTCTTCTAACATGTGCCTCAGAAGATGGCTCAGCCTGCATGGAGCATGGTTGTCATCAGGATCTCAAAGAGTTAAACAGGGTCCTTCTAGAGCCACAGGGTCAGACCAAGTGTTGCCATATTGAGATAGAATCTCCTGCTTCTTAATGTGATTTGAGCTAGATGATTTTTTAAAAAATAGAGAGACAGGGTGAGTAGGAGAAAACAGGTAAGTTTATTTGTAGGCATTAAGTTGGAAATAAGAGCACTCTTGAGTAATCAAAGGGAAAATCTGCTGAAGACCGGTAAGCCCTGAAAGCCAATGAAAGCCAATTCTTTTATCAGAAATCTTAATAAGGCCAACCTCCCAGTCTCAGAATTTAGATGTGAGTCCCAGTTTGGCACAAGGTGCCAGGAGGCAGGGTTCAACTAACTGTGCACTGCTGCAGCCAGGTCTGTGTGCCTGGACCCCTCCCCCAGGGGAGCTGGTGAGGGTGACAACCATAGTGAAGCTGTCTCCTGGGAGACCCCACGTGCAGGCCAGGATTGCATCCCTCTGCATCAGGCCAGAGATGGAGCCCTCCCTACTCTGTGCATAACCCCTTGTAGAATCTGGAGAAAGCAACAAAGCTTTTCCCCAGAAGAGTGAGCATGTACTTGAACACACACATGGTTTCTCACACTCTGAGAGGGCTCATAGTCCCTGAAACCAACCAGTGGGCCCCCTAAGTGTTCATGGTGAACAAATTAAAAAGTATTCTCTAGTGGCCGACCTTGAGAAAGTGAACTTCTAAGCCTCAATTGCTTCACCTGAAAAATGGTGGGTTAGACAAGAATAAGTAGTGTCCTAGAAAGGGCTGTGATGAGCTGCGCCATGTTTATCAGGACCTTGGAGAGGGCACGAGCCTGTGTGCTCCCCACCCCCTTCACGGAGGTTCCCTGGCAGGCAGTGGGGGAGCTCCTGAAGATTGTAGGTCAGGCACCATAATAACACCACATACAGGGGTGGGTGGCAGCAGGGGGTGTCAGCTTTTGTCATAGGGGGAAGTGCTACTGAGGCCATACCGGCAAACCAGAAATGTTATCAGTAACCTGGTGGAAAGCCCTGGCACTAAAATGGACAGACTGGTGACTCATTTAGAGGATGCCTAAAACATTTTCCTCTTCATAGCAAAAGCTTGGAGGGGCTTCGGAATTTTGGAAAAAACAGACCAAGGATTGTCTGTAATTTGTGAGTGATGAGCACCAGACATGTGAAACACCGTTTTGCTCAAAACGGGAGT